GAGGGGGGGGAGGGAGAAGGAGGGGGAGGGGGAAGGAGGGGGAGGGGAAAGAGAGAGAAGTAGAGGTGACAAAAATAGCGCACAGGACACGAAAGAAATAGCATATCGTGCGATTTTTTCGATTAGATCAAGTTTCAAATGAAAGGCCAAAAAAAGTAATGATCTTGAGAACTTACAATTTCTTCAGTCGTTTCGCCTCTCTCAGTTGTTTGACAAGGAGACCTATATCTTGCGGCCTTTCTACCTGGCGCTTGAGTCCCATTGAATGAAGCTAAATTGGGACAAAAAAAAGAGAGAGATAGAGAGAGAGAGGACAAGATGACGCGCTGAGATAGTGTCATCATTTGTCAAAATTTTATGGAAGAAGGGTTTGTTAAAAAACGAGTCAACCTTGATTTAAATTGTGAATTAAAAGTGAGACAAAGTTAAGCTTTAATTTGGACACCCCTTCATTGTGTGGAATACGTTCCCGGCTTGAATATTCGCCGTTTGTTTTCCTCTATTCAGTTTACTATCACAAATACGACACTAGAAGAACTTTGGTAGTGAAAGATATCGCAAACCTGAATTATCTGATGATGATGATAACAGACTTGTGGTTCTCAAAAACTCCACAGGAGGGCAAAACCTTATGATTGTACTCTCAGAAAAGAGTTCGATGGATTCCACTAGGAGATTCAACGACCCTGACGCCTTATGGTTACTCGGAGGCGACTGCAAATTTTCCAACCCAAAGAATTCTTTCACGAGTTATCAGATTCAGAGTGTAACTAGGAAGAAACCCAACAAAAGGTCCTGACTAAACCAAATAACCGATGCTGAAAGCGGAAATTCTTGCTGGTCAGGTCCTACACAAAACATAACGGAACATCATTGGGAATGGTGCACTAATTCTCAATGTGGACCTTCTTCAAAGGACCTTTTTTCAAGAAGCAGTGAAATCCAACAATTCAACTGTAAATAGGTAGACATATCTCTGTTACACCAGCAATGGCTTCCACTCAATTAATTATTCTACACGAATTGGTGGCAAAATAGAACCCGGTTCTTGGGTAGGCAACTGAAGAAATATGTCTCAAACTAAAAAATTGACAATACTAATGCAAATGGAAATTTGTGTCAATGTGCTATTCTGTACTTATTTTAACGTAATTCGATTACCCAAAATTGAATTTGGATGATGAATTTAGAGACACATAAAGTAGCAAAATACCAAATACGTGGGGTTGTTTGCCAAATTATCATTCTAATTAGAAAGACTTAGAATTGATACCCTTTTTCTGAGGGAATTAAAAACCGCACACACACCCCCCTCCCCTCCCCGCCCCGTCCCGCCCCCCCCCCTTTTTTTTGAAGATCAGCTATCAGATTGGTAAGACTCTTTGCATGAAAAAGATTCGCCTTCAATATTGTTTCTTTGTCGAAAAAAAGCAACGAACGCACGTCGATAACAGCTGAAGCCTTAGTTACTGAAATGAGACAACAAAAAGATAACGTCAAATTTGGGTTCAACAATTGAAATGACCTAGACAGAGCCACAAAAACATTTTGAGTAATTTGTACTTTTCTTTTTTCAATAATAACACCTTCATGGCGGCTTATAATAAGAGTGACTTGGCACGCAGGAGTCTTCATTTGCAGCAATCAAACTCATTTTCCAAAGAGTGAAATGTACTGGTCATATATTTATGAATAACGGAAATTTGAAACCAGAGGGATAGCTTAGAAATACGTCAAAAATAGCAACCCTCAGTCTGAACACAAAAATGCACACGAGGAAATCCCAAATTTCATAGATCAACTTCTTCTTCTTCTTTAAAACCATAAACTCGCTTATCCGACTAGTCTGATCTATTCCCGAGCTCTCTCAATAACTAAGAGTCTTAAAGCACCTAGCTTTTTTTTCCAAACAGGCTTAAGATTCCCGATCACGACCAATCTTAAAATTAGGGGCTATTTTAGCCGGCTCACAAATTCCTGAGGACGGGTTTTTCCTATTTTCAAAACTACGACTGTGTCACGTCGGCGGCTTACACACACACACTTGGGCCTACAGTTGGTTGTAGTGAGGGGCAGTCACACACATAACGTCTGTTTATGAATATCCTTTTGTGTGTGTGACTTCTTGGGCATATCTGCCAAAAAAGACCACTGGAGCAAAGGGTGCGTGTAATGTTCTGTTTTTCTTTTCTAAACCTGTCTTCATTCAACGCTTATTTGAGAGAAAGACGAATGACGGAGAGATTGAATGAACAATATCTAGAGGGGACACATCCTCCCCTTAATCCGACACCCTTCAGATGCTTCAAAATGTATTCCAATATGTGTGTTTATATAGTTATATACCAACCGAAAGCAGAACATGTGTAGTGAAATATCAGGACTTAGTGGATGTGGGTAATTAACGCACTTCGAAGGCCTTTGAAGTGCGTTAATTTCGGAAAACAAAGTCAAAACCCAAAACCTAACAAAATTCCATAGGAGAACATGAGGTGGTATAGAAAGGCTGGGCAGGAGACCCTCCCTACCAAAGCATTAGACTAAATCGTAAGAAATTGAAAAATGTACTGAAAACGCCCCCTCTATAATAGTTCTCATTGTTGTTACATAGTTAGCCAGATCCAGGTCCATATATGTCAAAATCCAACCTTTCAATTTTGCATAACTGGCAACAGAGAGGCTGGTAAATACCCCCCCNCCCCCCCCCCCCCCCCCCCCCACCTTTTTAATATCACGATTATATATTAAATTTAAAATAGCCAGGCACATAATGAAACTGGTGTTTTGCGGAATTCTTATGTGTTAGGACATCTTTGCTTAATGGCTACCCAGTGGGGCTGTAACTTCCGTACTATACCAAATTATCAAACCCAGTACCAAACAGAAACTAATAATTTTTATGATCGCTATGGCAAGTTAACGATTGTTTGAATGGCAATTTAATCACCATGGATTGTTAGTTATAATTTTTGCTACAAAAATGACAATCCTTAGTTGCTAGACTAGTTATTCTAAATAGCTTTTGAGTAAGGTTGCACTATGTTCCCGACCTGCGTGATTTGCTTATCGATTTTTTGATAGTATATGATTCACGTCTCCCCCTGTTAGGCGATTTATTGATTTTTTTTTCAAGTTTCCGGTTGTCACTTCCCCTCCATTTTCTCTTTACACTAATCAACACATGCCTCGTTATGAGCTTTACCTTGTGACCATGGAATACGTGTAGTTGACGATGACTAAACTAACTTTCGCCTTTCCATACTGATTCTCACTAAGCTAGATACCCATCTAACGAAAAGAGCTAACCATACTTTCATCAAAACTTATTTTACAATTTGTCGCGAGAACTATTTTCGTGATTTTAAATCGGAATTCCCTTACCTTCCAAACCAAATGCATGCCAGAAAAAAGGGAATATCTTTCGTCCTACATAGGTGTACAGGTCTAAAAAATACTTTTGAGATAAAATAATATTTTCTGAGCAAATAATTTTCTCCATCCTTCCTTCTTCTGGGGTGACAATGTAATAATAGAAGGCAATTAAGGTAAAATGGAATTTTCATAACAGAATGTGGCATTTCGGATGAAGTAGGGATACAATTCTGCCCTCAAAATTGGAATGGAAAGGAATGTAGTGAACTGTATGTGAGACTAAAAGAATACAATTTTTATTGTCGCTTTTCTAGGTTCGCAAAAAATTATTGCAAGAAGTATTTTTTTAAATGAGTCGATAGAGTAGAGTTTTATAATATTCGCATTCTCGCTTGATTAATTTTTCCCTCTATCAAAGGTACAGGAAATTGGATGTGAATTAAATGTGTTACAATTCAAGCAAAAGTCTCTGCTATCGATTTCCTTTCAATATTCGTTCCCGAAACCGCAGTTTCTGTGCATCTCTTGTGCAGTATGGTTGAAGCAAAGTGTATTTAAGCTGATAATTATAGCGGATATATCTCTGATTCGCGAATAAAATACCTTTAAGCATTCAAATATGTCTAGACAATAGTCTTACAAGGCTAGTTTTTCAAAAAGAAAGGCTGTTCAACTCACCAAAAATACCTGCTGTCCTTCCTCACTCGAAATCCTAACCCCCCCCCCCCCCAATTAATTTATAAACATGAAACCGGAAAATAGTTGGGAAATGCTCATTTGTACATGTACAAACATGCACGGTTTAAACTCAGCAACTGCGATTTCATTACGAAAAATTTCTAATAACTTAGGTTAATCGGTAGAAATTGTCACGTAACAATCTAGGAGAAATGGTCGCCAAGGTCATTTGCAATACATTAATATTACCATCCAATTTCTTGTTCAAGTAGTCGTGTTGTTGTTGCTTTTTTTGCATACCGTGCGTGCATGCCTTGCCCGACGTTCCTGTTCACTTTCCAGAAGAGGAAAAAAAACTAACATGCGACAAATTTTGTTATTTGTTCTCGTTTTTTTCACCTATGTCTGGCAAAAAACTCGCATTGCTAATTAAAAACTCCCTGTCCCCCCTCCCCCAAGTACAACTGGAGGTCGTATTTATTTTAAACAATTAGTTCCCTTAGATTATGTGTGGCAAAATTCAAATTTGCACACATGAGAGTAAAAGTGTTGCCATTGAGGCCATTGAGTGAGCTTCAATTATCGATTTTACTGTAGTTAAACACAATTCCTCATTTAAATCACTAAGAGATTACTAAGCAATTCGAGCATTGTTGATATTTTGCTGTGTGTGTGTGTGTAAGGAAGAAGATGTTTATCATGAAAAGTTACATTAGTGCTTCAGCTGTGACATTGGAGGAAAAAAGCAACGCACAAATAATAATCATCAACATTTCTTTTCTCCTCGTGACGGTTTGCTTTTACTTTCATCAGTTACAGTTACAGGAAAGCGAATGATTATCGATTATGAGTTACCGCTTATTTCATCAGAGTTTTATTAATGTTCGTTTAGTTTAATAAAGAAATTTAAAACTTCCAAATTTCTACTATTTTAGGTGTTATCAAGGAGGTCAGAGATTGTTCATTGATATCCGAAACAGATGAAAATCAATATCAAATTCGATTGTCCGCCTGCCCCCCCCCCCAATTACCTTGAAAATTAGTCTGTAAAAAATTGATCCCAATTATAAACCGCAGGTTAATTTCTCAATTATATATACATCACAACCCATAAACCAGGCTCCAAAGAATTTTTTACATCTCAGGTTTAAGTTGCTCTCCCCTGTTTATGGGATTACCAACCGCTTGATTCAATTATCAAATGTACTACATAATACTGATCTTTATGACAAATAAAGTTTATAATATAGTATGGGTTCTTAGATAATGGTCTGTGGTCTAATTAAAGATCTCCAGTTTCCTCAGCAAGAATATTGATCATGATAACGAGTGATTATGAGAAGTCAAGTCAATTTCTAATTACACATCTCCAGAAATTTGCCCATTTTTACCCTTAAACATGAAATTAGAAGAAGGCAAATGCCTTTAAGGCATCATTAGGTACTACTTCTTGCTTGGCTCTTCCGACTCTAGCCTTCTGTGAAGGAGGAGAAAATATATGAAAAATGATGTAATTAAAATCCTTCCTTTCCGCTCGAACTAGCAAGCGAACCACCGACAAAACGGCAAAATATGATCACTTCTCGGAGTGGATGATTCACCCAGCCCTCATAAAAGAGAGGCACATTGAATCACTTGCAAAAAGACCCTGTGGTGTGTATCGTGAACGTGTGTTCATTTTGTGAATTACTTGACCATTGCTAATACTTCTAACCCAACCCCCCNCCCCCCCCCCCCCCCACCCCACCACCACAATCCGAGGCCTTCTTCAACTCCCCATTGCTACAAAAGGTCTTTTCTGGAATATTAATATCTTATTTAGCTTCTGCTCTTGCTCCTACAAGAAGTGCTTTGATCTGGATTAATGTGAAGCCCGATGTAATGTCGGAGGAGAATTGTTGATCATTTATATATGCCCCCCACACCCCAAAGTTACCTACCAGTAGATCCATTCAAGCCCGAAATTTTAGAGTTTGTTCAAAAGAGTAAGCGCAATAAAAAGCGCTCCAATTGTTTAAATGCAAGAATTTGTACCCTTTTTCGCTACCCTATTGTCCTCTTGAGAAGACAATGAAGCTTCATACAAACCCAAAACTGGACTCACTAATTGAAGCCAAAAAATAAAAAGCCCCTTTTTTGCACCTAGAATTATGTAGCCGGGTTATTTAAAGGCTGTTACGTTTGGTGTGTGCATCCAAAAGCACAGATATTCTATGCAACTTTATCCACCCCCCAGTAGATTTCACCGACACGGTGAATGGCGAAGACATGTCTAGACAAGTCTAGTTGGAACACACCTTTTCGTTTCTTCCCTTTACACGTGAGTGTTGATTTATGATAATGTGGGATGACTGGACATCCACCAAAAAACACATAAACAAGTGCCGTTTTCTAGGTCATTGAAAAAAAACCCCAAGTTGCTTACCTTGCAAAGAAGACTTCGCCGGCAAACTGTCCCATCGCGTTGAACTCCGCAGTGAAGCCGTGGATCGAAAGGCCCTAAAAGAAGGTGTTTTTTTCGAGATTACATAAGAGCCTTCCAGAATAAATCACCAATACTACTCTCCGAAATTGGTAAGCTAATAATTAGAAAATGATAAGGTCACCAGTGGGTTGACTATTATGTAACCTCTTCATAATTTTTTTTATCCAATGAGCGCTGAAACAAAATGCCAGTTTTCACCTCCTTCCCCTCCTCCATCGAACTCTTTAATCGGCGTGATGGACGCTAAAATTGCCATCGAATATGTGAGTAGGGGAAGGAGATGGGTGGAGAACAGAAGTGACATTTCGCTTTTCCCCATTCTAAATACCCTCGAACGAAATTTGCCCTAAATTGTGATCTAAAAAAGAGATGTAGACGAAAACTGCCGAAGCACTAACCAAAAATGGGGTAATTTTGGTAAAAATGACATAATATTTGTCTAGCAAGCAAGATTTTCCAATAATCTCGACTCCACTATAAATGCATCCACAAGGTCATTTACGATCACGGAAGACAAATCTTTTGTGAACATCAATTTGATTGGTTTAATCACTGGAGCGTGGCTGCAAATGTATAAAGGCGACATATTTGAGCTAAGGTGACTTATGCCTTTTTGCGTAGATACGGTAAGCTGTACTTCAGAGGTGTCTGTAAATTAGAACAACTCAAACAGTCCCGGGGGAAATTTAGACTAATAAGATGTGTCACCTATCTTAATTCACGCCCCCCCCCTCCCTCCCTCCCACCCACGCCACCATCTATAATAAAGGGATTGGTTAGGCCAAAGCAAGGGAGCGGGGGTTGGGGGGGCTAGAAGAGGTGGTTTTATGGGGTTGGTATTTGGAGAAAAAGGTTAATGGGACCGCCGGCTCTAAAGTGACCCGTTTCTCGAAAAACACACCCAATACATTCCCCATGAATTTTGGCCCAATGACTCATCTCTCCATTCAGTGCTAATTCCGTTAGAGATTCCAACTCCCTTCCTAAAGAAATCACCTCAAATCTGGGGTCAAGCCATACTCAGTGAGCTACATAAAACCTTTTAACTGTAAAAAAGGAGGGGGGG